TATTACTTTGCATCATAGATAGGCAACATGTGAAAAGAAAAAAAAGACACGAGAAAAACATTGCTTTACAAACCTTAAGACTTAATAAAGAAAAAAAAATTGATAATTTTTGTACGAAAGCATTGTAATGTTTACTGATAGTCTGACAAGTTTCATTAACATTCGCATACTAATTTAAAAGTTATAGCATGAAAACTATAACAAGCACAAAATTGTTATGAGGTCAGTCCCAGGGACCAAACCCATGCTGAAAAAGTTAAAACTGTTGTACATTATTTCACAATAAACTTCAATTCAGCACTTGTTAGAAAAACAAGGAAGAATAAGAACATCAAAAATTGGTAAAAGAAAACAATAATATATCAAAATAAATAATATCGCAAAAATAATTAAAGAATTAACAAAACATAAAAAATCCGACTAGTTACATCAGGCCAAGTTTGTCATTCTCAAGTGATGAAGTAATATTACTCTCAGGTTCCTATGTGTAGATACTTGGGACCACAGTATCTTGTACTTTCAGGTTTAAACCAATCCAGAAAGGTCAATGTTAACTATAATTTGAAGAAAATAATTCCAAATTGGGTTGAGTTTAGATCCCATTTCATTATTGAGCATGCTTTTTTTTTCTATTTTTAAATATCCTAACAATTCTCATGTTGCATTGATGATGAAAGAATTTTAGTTCAGCAATGACTTTTGATTTAACAAAATTAGTTCTGTGGTTAGTTATGCAACCATTAATACTAAAGCTGATTTTTCAAGGACAATAGTCTTCATTTTTCTTTACTTTAATTGAAAGAGAACATTTTGTTTGACCTCAATAATTACAACCATAAGAAAAGAATGTAATAAATTACCCTCTTTGTAGTGAGTTTCTTTCCTTTTGTTAAAATTTATTTATTGCTGAATATAATGCTTCCATCAACTTAACACAGGAGAATCAATATAATTATTTAAAAAATAAGAAATCATGCTCAATAATGAAATGGGTTCTGAGCTTAACTCTACTCGGCAGTCTTTTTTTTTTTCTTCTTTTCAAATTAGATGGTGAATGTTGACTCTTCTGGGCCAATTTAAATCAGACCATACATTACACTAGTCATAATTACCTAAACATAGGAACCTGACAACAGTTTTACTATATCCCACGAGAATGACAACCTTGGCCTGTCAAAACCAGTTAGTTTTTATGTTTTTTTCATTATCTAATCATTTGTGTATTATTATGTTGATGTATTATTACTGTTTTTTATGAATTTGCACCAAGTACTTCTTTAAACACTAGAGATTTAACCAATTTTTAAGCTATATCTGTTGTATGTATTGAATGTTAAGCCTGTTCAATATTCATGAGGAAGTTAGAAGTTTTTTTTTCCTCAAAAAGTATAATAAATGGTAAAAAACAAGTTGTTTATATCAGAATGATTAGTTTACCTTTTGACAAACTTGCCATAATCAGAAGAGTCAGATGACAGGATCTCTTTAATTGCAACTTTGTTCAAGCAGTTATCTATATGTTCATTCAACAATACAAGTGATTGAGATTTAAACTGGATGTCACAGACAGGACAACTCAAACTTTCTGTCACACATCCAAACTCTTGACACACAGAATTACTTGTAGGAAATTCTTCATTATGAAGACTGTTGGAAGCCATTGAAACTGAAGGTTGATTTGGGGTCATTCTCAACTTATTAAAACTTTCCATCTCATAGGTTTTGTTTTTTAAAGACTCACAACATTCAATTTTATCAGACAAGACAGCTGAATTTTTCGCAGTTTTTGACCATGGTATAAAAGCCTCAATTTTATTTACAGATTCTGTATTAGGTCTCCCTGTATTTGGTGTGTCCATACTTCTCACATATTCCATGCCTTTACTTACTGCAGGACTAACTACTACATTGGTTGTGTTTTGAAAAGGTTCTTTTCTATATAGCTCTGATTTAACAAGATGTTTTGAAAATGATGTTCTATTTGTTACAACCATATTTAATTTTTTTGAAGATTCAGAAGGCACAGACTTATTCAGTAAAGTATCAGCATTATCTGAATAGGTTGTCTTGTTTTTCGGAGTTTCAAGATTGTTAGAAGAATATGTACTGCAATTTTCATCAAACGTTTCTAAACTAGTTGAACTCCAAGTGTGCAGTTTTTTATCAGTTTTTGCACGAACACAGTCAGAAAATTCTGTTTTGTCAACTATACCTTTAGATCCTACATGTACATTCATCAGAGGTGAGGACTGCAGAGTTAGACATTCATCCAAGTGACCATTTAATTCGTAAAGGTCTTGTGAGGGCTGGTGACAAACTGGACAGCAGAAACTAACATTCCTATTGTTCTGGATAGATTGATGATCATCGAATTGTAAAGACACTGGCAAATTCAAGTTGGAAAGAGATAACTGAGGTTGTATTTCAGTAGAAAACTCAGATTCCTGTTTTTTATTATTTTGGATGTTGTGTTTTTCTTGATTCTTCTGGTAAAAAAAGTCAGTCATAAGGCCTTGCTGGCTCTCTCCTGGAACCTCATGTATTAGGTTAGCAATCCTCACACCTTTCAAGTAAAATCAATAAATATTATAATTATTATGCACACAGAGATTCTTTACTGTTAACATTTAATTAATAGTTTAAATTCTGGGGTCCATTAAAAACAGGTTTAGTTTTCTTTTTCAGAAACATCTCTAGCCTTCAAAAGTGTTAGATGTTAGTACAAGACAAAGAGATTAAAAATCAATACTTTTTTTGAAGTTATTAAACATTATTCCACATGTAACCAAACAATTGTACATGCTTTTAACCATTTATATATTAGAAGTGCCCAAAGGGAAAGCTCAGGGAGTCTAACACTCAATGGCCAGGGCTCCATAGGGTCATACCCTTGGGGGCCTGCATCTCATCTTCATCTGGAAGAAAACTGAGGGAAAGGCAAAAGAGCCCCAAGTGTTGCAGGGATGGGTGGAATTTTAGCACGACTAACTAAGCACCTGAAAACAAGTGGTCGGCAAGCCAAAAAGTGTAGTGTGTGATCATACCATACAGTGCGTGTCTTACCTTGACTTAACTGTACAGAGATGGGGATGATGCTGCAGGAGGAGAGCACATTAGCTGTTTAGGGGTGTCATGCACTCCACAGACAGTACCATTATCGCCCTACTTTCCCTGGCCTGATGCAGGAAATAAGCATATCCTGGGATGCAACACCAGCCACCTGGCAGGGTCCTATAAATGGGAAGAGGGTGATGAAAAATAAATTGTACTCACCCTTATCAAAGACAGTGTATAGATTGAAGAATGGAGACAGGAGGGAGTTCAAATCCTGCAGAAGACAAAACAGCCAGATGATAATGACAATAGGAAATGAATGTGAGTGGATTCATCCACATAGCAACCTGAAGGATCTTGTCCAAAGGTTGGCAAAAATCAGACACAACTGAGTGACACATGACAAATTTGATGTAATGAAATGTGAAAAAGCCTGCAAGCATCAATATCCATGGAAGAATGCACCAACTGGAGAGTTAGTGGACCCACCCAGTAAGGATAAGAGGTACCTAGACAAAGAGTGGTCCCAAGGTAAAAAACAAATGATGATAGGAACCCTGAAAAGGAGACATTAATGCCAAATAGCATCGCACAGCCTGAACCAGACACAGAATAAGATCTGGTTCTGAACAAGCATAGAGGTGAGGGACAGAAGGGAGGGAGACAGGAGAAAAAGAACAATCACCCTCCCATTCAGGCAAAGTCTTGGGAAGAAAAGCTTCTGTGTAGAGGAGTAAGAAATTATGAGGAACAAGAGTGCAGGAAGCAATGATGACACACATATAATTGAATGACAGTAACAACAGGTGAGAAGGAGAAGGAAGTATGTCTTCAAAGAAAGATGGTATAAAGAACAGAAAGCCAATGGCTCAAATGAAGCATGTGTGAGAGCTTTTAAAACCACTTAAGGTCCCATTCAGGCACAGGAGTTGGACAAGATGGTTGGCAAAGAAGGTAAAATTAGAAAAAAGTGAAAGAAAACACCTAGCAGTAATGGGAAAGACAAAATATAGTTGACCAAGCTACCCAAAAACCAGTTATGTTGGAGACTGACAATCCATGGTCCAAGAACCATGTAAAAAGAAGGCTAAAAGGTTTGTGAGCCACAGTAACACATCTCAAAGGAAGAGAATGGCATATGGACCAATGTAGAAAAACTTGCCACTTCCAATGATAGATGAATAAAGTTGAAGAATGACAGGAACAAATAAAAAGTCTACATTATTAGAGAGTCTAGCCCTACAGCTGATGGACCAGATAAATCCCACATGTGAAGATGAAGAGACAACACCACTGGGTGAAAAGGATGAGGTTGGAGAAGAGGAAGAGGGGGCTTGGATGTAAATTAAAGCAGAGGAACTCAGGATTTTGTAAGCTAATGAGGCACCTCCAACAGGACCTGACAAGGCATGAGAAAAGGGAGGTAAGGGGAACATGCCTGACAAACTGTGAGAATTTCAAGTATGTTGATGTGAAGCAAATAATCCTCTGGAGATGGCCAAAGTCATATCATTCTTCAGAGATGCACACCTAGCCCAACAGAGAAGCATCTGTAAAACATGGAGAATCTAGTTGAGCCGAGCAGTAAAGGGATACCTACTGAAGTATTGAAATTGTTGAGCCACCAAGACAAATTCTTGAGAAGAGGAGAGGGGAAGATACATTATTGAAGACAACGGATCTTGAGAAAAGTTCCACTGGTCTCTCAGTGTCCACTGAAGGAAGTGCACTTGTGTGTGTGTGTGGCCTAAAGGAATGAGTGGTTCTGGTAAAGCCAGAGTCTCCAAAAGCAAAAGAGCCTCACACCCAAACTGTAAATGAGAAGTGCAAATCTTGATGACAAGACATTCCATTTCTCACAAGCAAAGTGGTGAAGACTGAGCCTGACTGTGGTGAGAGTTGAAGAACACACCCAGATGTATCAAATATTGGGTAAGTGTGAGAGAAGGAGTCCTCTCAAGAAGGGGAGAGAAAAAGCCATTCACCCATGTAATAATGAAACCTAAACCCCAATCTGTGAAGATGGTTGGCAAATGTCCCCATGACTCAATTGAAGATGTAAGAAGCAGGCACAAATAGAAGAGCACAGAACTTGAAGACTGAATTCTGATGGACGAAACACAGAAACTATCTGGAGGACGGACAATCATGATGTGTAAAAAAAGGGTCTGAAATGTGAATCTTGGTCATCCACAGCCTAGGTGAAAAGAAACCCTTGTTTTGAAACTGCAGGATGATGAGAAACCAGTTCAGAGATGGCAAGTTGATAACTGGACACAAGTCCTTTTCTTGAGAACCATAAACAAATGTGAGTAACATCCAAGAGTAGGGTTAAATACTCTCTCGATGGCACTCTCGAGATGCTGAAGATGAATGAGACTGAAAGGAGGAGGAAAGGAAACAGGAAAAGGATAGAGGAGAGGAAAAGAAGAGAAGTGGACAGATAGGCAATGGAAGAACCTGAAGAACCCATCTGTTGGAAAAAAGTGGAGACCAAAGGCTGGCAAAGAAGGATGTTTGGACACCCAATGGGAACAGGATAATCACCGATGAGATAAGGAACAACCCTGATGTCATGAAATGGGAGGCTGGGAAGAAGAAGAATGAGAAGGAGAGATGTGAATCGAACAGGCATAAGAACAGGAACAGAAAGGCGAGGTTGATAATAATGAGAAACCAAAAAAAATGACAACAAAGATTGATTTCATGTCTCCAGAGAGTCCAGAACACTATTGAGGACCTCTGGGCTAAGGAAGGAGCCCAATGAAGATCATGGAGATAAGACTGACACAGGCAAACATTATTTAGGAGAGTATCCTGACCCAACAAATCCCAACAGCAGAGGAACTAAGTATGAAGGAACAGCAGTAGTATTAACGGTACAGACTAAAGTGATCAAACAACAGAACAAACCTCTTGAGAAACCTTTAAGGAACACTATGAAATGCCTCAAAACTAAAGTGAAAGGATGAGAGGTAAGAAAGAGATGAAGGCATGATAACTGGGCATAAGAAAGTTAAATAGAAGTGAAAGGGTCAATCTACCATACAGGTAAAATGAGATTGCAAGGAACAGAAATAAAGAATGGCTGTAAGGCAGGTCAAAAGAGTCAAGTATGTGAGGAAAATGAGGCAGGTGAGTATGGGTGCACAGTTGTTCAAGAAACAAGTCTGTATGGACCCTAATATTAGGAGGGAAGAGAAAGTAATCTTGAGTATGAGTTTCATGTCAAAAAATAAAAGAATAGGTAGAACAATCACCAAGTTTTTGTTATATTTTTATTTACAGAAGGATGATGTTTCGAGCTAGCACTCTTCATCCAATCATACAAAAGAGCATGCGCAGAATTCAAAGAAATTATGCACATAGTTTTTGGAATGTTGAGCATGAAATTTCTGTGTAAAAGTACAAGTCATGAAAAGATAATACAGATAGCAATTAATATTTAAACAAAAACAAAAAAAAAAAGAAGGAGAGAGAGAGAGAGAGAGAAATCTTTTTGTTGGTCTGATGGTACGTTAGCGCAAGTGGAATATGATTGGTCTGTTCTTTCTTGTAGGGTTGAGTGTTTTCTCCTTGGATGAAAGATATTATACTAAACAATTACACCCTACCACTAAATCTCTTTTTCAAGAACCCACCCATGACAAAAACCTGAAAGAAATCCTGGTGCACAGTAACCTTACACAAAAACAAAATTGATACTCTAAGCACTTACACATGTAAACAAGTAAGGTGTGTCACTTGCCTACATTTAAACAGCACCACATATATGCAAGGAAAAAACACAACTTTCAACATTAGGGATTTGTTTGTAATTAAGTGAAAAGCTACACAATGGGCTATCTGTGCTCTGCCCACCACGGGCATCGAAACCCGGATTCTGGTGTTTTAAGTCCGCAGACATACCGCTGTGCCACTGGGGGGCCAACATTAGAGAGTCCTTTACATGTATCACACATTGGACAAACAGGCTGCCAACTCAGTGATCAAGCACACGAACATTTAAAGCATAATAAACTGTAGAATCAGGATATATCTATAGGTAAACATTTCACAATCAACGACCATACAGTTGAGGATTTGTTTTATCCTTGGACTTATTAGTACTCCAACAGCTTTTCAAAAAAAAGAGAACGACTAGAAAGAAGATTAACCTACAATATTTCTCTTTTTTTTTTGTTTAAATGTTAATTGCTATCTGTATTATCTCTTCAAGACTTGTAATTTTGCACAGCAATTTCATGCTCAACATTCCAAATACCATGCATGCAACTTCTTTGAATTCTGTGCATATGCTTTTGTTGTAGCTTGTACGATCTGACAAAGAGCACTAGCTCAAAACATAAATAAATAAATAAAATAAAATCTTGGCAAGTATTCAACCTACTCTTTTATTTCGATATCTTTGTCGAAATATAGCGGTTTTAGCTATATATTCCTTTTTATGGGTTTAATGTAGTAAAGAACAGGTGGAACTGAAAGACAGTGGAGAAAGAGAAGAAAAGAACATATCTGCAAAATCATGTCACGAAATAAATTAGAAGGGGTAAAGACTTTCCTCCAATGACAAAATAGTACCTACAGCAAATCCTGGTGGGGGAAACAGCCAGTCAAACATTGTCACCTTGGTCGTATTCAAATTGAGAAGAAGGAACATCAGCCACATGGACAAGAAGAGGAGGCCTTGTATGCATGAAGGCATTCACAAATTGTTGAACAATGGCTATCATGTCCTCCACAGACAACGAGCCTCCAGTAGCCACAGGTCACATGTTATAACTTTGTCACCACAATAGGATAAAGTAGAAGTTACTATCACTTGAAAATTCATAATGAGTCAGCAGGAAAAATAAAATGTTTTTTCTTCTTCTTTAGTAAAGAAAGAAAGGTTTCCCTTCACGAAGAGTTTTTATTAAATGAATTTAAAAAAGTTACTTTCTCAACATAAAATTCAGTTACTGCATACAAATTATGTGGTTACAGTGTTCAACCTTTTGTACATAGTTACTCACCATCACATATAGGTGGTTAATCTTTTTTGATTTTGGTTTTATAGTGTAATATTTTTTAATGTTTTTTTTATGTAAACATGTAATTTTGTCATAATTATAAGATATCATAAAATAAAACCTATCATAAATAGAATCAAATCTAAAAGGTTATCCACTTCAATTACATTTATGATTTACTGTTAAAATGATAAATCTCTTTAAGTAATACATTTTTTGTAAGAGATGAACTAAAAAATGCCCAAAAGAAATGCATTGAGGCTTAGTTCCCATAAAATCTCACAAATGGCAGCCAGTTCAAAATTTGCAGATTGTCAATTACAATAATGGTGTCTGAATGTTTTCACTTACAAAGAGTTCTGTACTTCTACCTAGTTCATTACTGGGATAAATAACTTAGTAGTTTAAATTTTCATATCATTTTGTATGCATTCATTATTAAATATTTAGATCAATAAGAAGCAATACTGTCTAATAGGTTATTTTTTGACAATGTCTTGAAAGAAAAAAAAAACATTCTTTTAATGACTATTCGGTGCATAAGATGAGTCATAGTTTTGTCATTATATATACACGTACACACACAAGCATAAAAATATTTTCCACTACAAATATCATTTGCCTACTGTCCATTGTTCACATCTCATCTACTTACACACGTGCAGACTGAAACCAACGTCACCTTAAAGTATGAACATATGGACATATCTATAAAAACTGGAAGAAAGGTTACAAACCCTTCCAACTCCACTATCTATCAACACAATACAGAAACAGAACATTCGATTTCTCTCTCAAACTTTGAAATTCTTTCAACAGCCAAACATGATACTGAACTTCTTATAAAAGAAACATTATACATAAAAACTCTTCTCCTTTCCCTAAGTAACACAGAGACCTCTCTGGATTTAAAACTATTTTAATATAGCACAGAGACCTCTCTGGATTTAAAACTATTTTAATATAGCACAGAGACCTCTCTGGATTTAAAACTATTTAAA